CGTTGATTCCCCGTAATTGTCCGTCAATCTAGCATGCATGCTATCGTGCACGGGCGGGACGGGGCTGCATGCAACGATCCGTGCTCTCGACTTTCTTCACGGCCGCTCAGTTCCCTTCCGTGTTCCTTTCCCAGCACAAAAATGACAACAATTCTTATACTCAGGACTCAGCCACGGGACCATTCTTGTACCTCTAGTATGTACTCCCTTCGTTCCTAAATACTTGTTTTTCTAGAGATTTCAACAAGTGACTACATACGGCGTAAAATGAGTGAATCTACACTTTAAAATATATCTACATACATTCGTATGTTGAGTTCATTTGAAATGCCTAAAAAGACAAATATTTGGGAACGGAGGGAGTACGTCTGTTACGTAAATACATATATAGGACGTTCGCCGTCTCCGGGGATGCGCCGCTCCACGGACGCCATCGCCACCTGCACTTTGACGAGCCCGGCCACCATCGCCGCTGTTGGCGCTGGTCCGACCTCAACGGCGGTATAGCCGAGTGCTTTTCATCGAAACACGCATATGAGAGGCTAGCTAGCTCAAGGAATTTCGGAGCTAAACCGGTTCCGTCTGAACGTAGACGGCGAGAGATACACGTACAAAGGAAGCAGTCTAGCTAGCTGCTGGATCGATCTTCATAGGCTAGCTAGCACAGGCACGTAACAACACGCCGCCGGCTATTCGATTTGACCGCTCGAAGGACACGCACCCGAGACAATATGAGGACACGCGAGTTGATAGCCACATGACCGGGTCATCTTTGTTTTCTTTCTATCGATGTGATTCGAAATATTACAGGGCCACAGGGGTACACGAGTATATAAAGGAGCTAGCCTACAAAGCTAACGCACCCTAAGTCCCTAACACCGGGCATGGACTCTCCGACGTGGTTAACTCCAACAGCGCATGCATTGCGCAGCTCCACACTGGGTACTGCTATTTTTTTCCGGCGTGAACTGGTGACAAATTTGTATGAGTTTCTCTAATTAAAAGAACTCCTAATTCATATTTAGATTATACCTGTAAACAATTTTAAGAATTATAGATAATTGAGGCGAAGCTACATATGGCCATCTTATTTTATCCAATTACCATATAACTTCGAACTTGAATGGCATGTAAAGCATTGAGATAATAGGATTAATGATGTTGGTTGCTGTGAGGCTTCTACTTGGGTAGTCATTTTGACATCACATATAGGACATAGGTGGGCGCCGTTGCATGTGAGACGGGTCTACTTGTCTGCATTTTCTCTTGACCTTGGTGATTCTTCTATTATTTTCCACCTTGCTTGATCTAGATACAATTATACTCCTATTCGGTTTGCCTTTAATAATGTACTGACAACTTTGTTGCCTTGTACAGGATGATAGTTGATGCCACTGGAGATACAAAATCATTTAGTTCTCCACTGTCTTGCCTAGCTAGCAACGCTGCTCTGCACCTTGGGCGCCTCATCACCTATTTATGCTTTGATTTCTTAGCTATGCTATGCTCTCTGCAAATAATGAGAAAAGTAGTTGCTTGGTGTAGACCATTTTTCGTTCTTTTTCATGTCATTATCAGTTGCATGTTTCCCATATATAATGGACCATGCTACTATCATAATACTATTTTCCAAAATCCTATATCCTAGCTAACTCAATTATCTTCACATGCAAGCTATCCACGTCATCAAGCCTACCCACCAATGGTAACACCGCTACATCATCAGCAACTCTAAAGTGCATAATACCACGTCATTCGTTCGGTTACCAGCGTACGTAATTAATCGGTCGACGATGAGCCATCTCTTTGTTTCCAGCGTAAACCAAGCGGCAAACCCCTCTCTCTGAAATCTCAACCGACCGACCGCTCCCCCTCCCACCCCACCCACAAAAAGGACACCATTTTTCTCCCCGGCGGCTGAGAACCGATCTCTACGTCAGGGCACTCCTCCGGCACAACAGCCGGCCAGGCTAGGCCTTCCGACTCTCTGGGATTTATGTTCCCTTGACGGTGTGGTGCCTTGCATCGTCGAGATGGCCGCCGCGATGCCAGGTACTCATCGTCGAGATGGCCGCCGCGATCTGGTTCCACCGGAATCAGATCGGCCTATGTTGAGATTGGGCTCTGGACATGGCTTCCTTTTCAGCCTCGCTGGTGCAGCGCCGGGCAGGTCCTCGGATTCGTGATCCGTCGACAAGCGGAGCAGCGCACACGTCCGGAGGGTGCCGCTACCCTACAACCTAGAAGTGCCCAACCCCGTCGTTTGATGACCTCAAGAACAACAGCGGATAGAAGACGTGAGTCAAAAGAAATTCGGGATGAGTTACAGAGAGAAGACGTGAGGGTGAGAGTCCAGATTTATTTCAGTACTTTTATTCGATTCTCATAACACAAAGTCCAGTTTCTCTTTTTTTTACAATACTACAAACTTCCACATGGTTTCCATCTAGCGACTTGGAAGAGCATACAATGCAGAGCTCACGCAACACAGGTCTATCATGTAAGGTCTTCAGGCGATGATGGTAACGCCTCTGCTTTGTGTGCACTATGCACCATGAAGACCGAGGCTTGTAGTTCTAATGTTGGCTGCTTGGATCATATATATTGAACCAATGTAGAAATATAATTAATGTATCCCTCTCGAGGTTTCCAGAAATCCATTTTGATGAGTGATCCATTGGTTTCATTTCAAATATAATTATTTGTTATTGTCCTTCAATGAGTTTCTAATCTTTAAATTTATTTTTGTTCACTACCGTGACACACAGGTGGTGATTGGACATGGTCATCAGCCTGACATGAGTTTTCTATTGAATTTAGTATTTTTTCTCTCTTATTTTTGTTCAAGCTTAGTATGCTTGATAACGTAAGACTGTTTCTGCAATGATATTTATTCCCTCTATCAGTGCTATTTCTGCAATGATTGGACAAGTTAGCACCCCCCCTTCCCCCCTCCCTCTTTCAGATTTTGTCAAATAGATCCAGCAAATTTTTGAACCTTATGATACCCTTTTTTTATGATAATAAGTCGACTATACCAGTTGTGTTGCAGTGCTACATTATAAGGCATATGGAGCAACAGTAAACAAAAGTAAGAAGACACAAGTAGAAAAAGCAAGCAAGGTTTGGTTTCAACCGCGTTCCCTTTTTTCCCCAAATAGTTACTCATAGCAATTTGTTTTTTGTTTAATATGACATCCATCTAATATTTATGGCAGCATTCCGACTCAATTGGAGGGGAGACCAAACTTGACACACTTAAGTACTTTTGGTCATTTCAGGGATTTAGGTCACGTGTCCATCATGCAAGTTTGGAGATTTCTGATTGACTTCATTTAGTGATTGCCAAATTATACTTATTCATGTACAGAATATCAACAAATGTAATAGTACTCATTTTATTGTTATGTGATGTTGCAAAGCTATAAATGTTATATCAGAATGTTGTCTATATTGTAACAACTTAAGTGAACATCTAGATGGTTGAGATAATGTTACAGAACTGAAATCTTTTAGCCTAATCTCAAGTATGGATAGAAAAGGTTAATTGTTATTCGTCACAAAAAAATTAGGTGTTTTGAGTGTTTTTCCCTCAATGGTCAAAACATCATTTGATGTTTGTTCTGATAATGCATACATGATGAGTGCACTTTAGTACATTATTTGTTATCACATGCATATAATATAGCTGATATTTTTTTCTTTAAAAATTAATTGCTTCCAATTCCGCCGCAACGCGCGGGGTATCTTCTAGTTTCTCAAATACTTGTACCCTACATACACTACTAGGAAAATGCTTATAGGTAGGCATTTAGCAGTAGCGTTGCCTAAAGACCCCACGCTACTGCTATTTAGCAGTAGCGCCTGACAACACCAGCGCTGCAAGTAAGGGTTAGCAGTAGCACGGGATATCCCGGCCAGCGCTGCTGTTGATGAGCCACGCTCTCGACCCACTGTTGCAGCTTTAGCTATAGCGTTGGGCCTCCTTCCCCGCACTGCCGATAAGCCCACCTCTGCTTCCCCCGCGCCGACCCGCCCCCCCTCCCCTCTCACTCTCACACTCACACGCTCACACTCACAGATCGAATCCCTCAATCCCCCGATCCGGCCGCCGCCCGTCCTACTCCGACCGCCCTCCCTCG